AGAGAGACACAGACAGAGACACACAGAGACGCGGACAGAGACACAATCACACGCACACGCCGACCCTAACCAGCCAACCGACCAATCAACCAAGCAACCAACCAAACACGGAATGGCCTCAGTCGCTAGCATCGAAAGTGAATCAGCAGGCGCAGCCTTTCGATCCGATATCGCATCCACAACGGAATGTTCATGCTTGAATCATGTAGACACCGGTCAGAACTGGATCCTGTCAACTTCCATCCAGCTATGACACCTCCAAGCTTGTCTGAGCTAGACTTTGTGGCTTTTGAGAGCTAGCAGCTAGAAGCCGGCTTCCCGCCCGTTGCCTCGGCTCGCCCAACCTGCAGAGCCTTCGTACTGAAGTTTCCTCTTCCACTCATCAACCCCTCTACTCCTCAGCCCTCGGCGCCTTCCTCATCTTCAGGGCAAGCGAAGGCCGAAGGTTCCGTGTGAGCCGAGAGCTTCACGAAGTCTTTCCGGGGTTCAGGGTGCCAAGCTGAAGACACAGCCTTTATGGCTTGAGCATGGAGGAGTTGACGCTGAGAGGTCAGCTGCCTAGGTTAGGCAGCTCTGGAAACAATCTTGACAGGGGCTACTTTGCTAAGTGCACGAGCGGGTGTAGGATTCAGGGCTCGGCCCTGAATGCTGAAGATGAGTACTTTGACAACCGCAAAACTCCAACACCCCCTGCCGAACGTGGGATGAGTGGGCTTGAGGTTCTTATGTTCGGCTGCAGCTGTCTAACTCAGGACACAAGTAGCCAACCCGCAACTTTCAGCTGTTGTGACACGCACCCTGAGGTCTCGGCATGCATCTCTTCGCCTGAATGCTTCGGTTGCACCTGGACTTTCAATATCACAGGTCAACAGCCCCGGAGCAAGCCGGGCTGCCTATGCGCCGACATGCGCCGTGTGAACAAGCCCTCGCTCAGACCTTGTCAGCATTTTGTGGTTGCTGCCAGCACCAACTGTTCTGTCTTCGCAGATGGGCTTGCTTGGTTTTTGAGATTGAGTACCCGGTGTGCCGATGATTCTCCAGCCAAGGGCCAAGCCAGCGAGTTCTTGTAGGAGGAGAATTTGATGCTGTGAGGCACCTTTCCATGAAAGGCAAACCTTCACAAAGACTGCCCTCAGCACTTGCAGTCATCCTAATACAGTCCTCAGTCCACAACAACAAGCTGCTGGACAAGTGCAAGGTCGTACTGCCCTTCCCTGACACTACGACTCCCGCAGCCTTTGTTTGCGTGACGATACCGTCGGAGACGTAGGCCTCAAACTCGAAAGACTCTTGCGGAAGACGACAATCGTGGACCCTGGAAACCGAAATGCTGCTTTTTGTCTCCTTCTTTTTGTCTTGATTCCCAGCCTTGCCTTTGGCCCTGCCAGGCGGAACCTCCGATAGAGAAGTGATGGAAGAGATGCAGAGCCGGAGCCGGAGCCTCGGCTTCTGCTACTTCTGCTACAGCTCCTCCGATCCCCGAATCCCCGAATTCCCACCCTTCGAGGTTCCTGCGCTGTACCCTGTCGTGTCCTCTATCGAGAACGAGTAGGGTCCTGCGGGAGAATCAAGGGAGGCTGAGGGTGTGGATCTCGGTGCTTCGGGTGTAGGGTGCCTCTCGATGTTGCGTGCAAGGGCTCAAGCCCAAAACCGCCGTTTTTCTTTGCAGGTTGCTGGCGTTGGGATACTTCCCTTAAACTCCCGTCAAAGCTGTACCTCGAGGGCTTACCATTACAAAGAGTCCAAGACGGCTGAAAGCTCAGGTTTTGCGGAGCTGCCATCCAGCACGAAGGTGTGCAGGCATTCGGAATATTGCAGGCGTCCTGTGGATTGCAACGACCTACGTGCATCGATAGAAAGCAGGCTTCCTTGGCTGTAGACTTCATGCACTCGCAAATCCGAGAACCCGGAACTCGACAAATCCAAGTGCAAATCTCACGGGGCCCCACATCCACAACCCCGTATGGCCCCTTGTCCTGAAACCCAAGAACGGCACCTTAACCTTCTTTGGCCCCGGTGGCGATCCTGTGACCTTGATTTGCCTGGGCTTGCCATCGTTGAGCTGTGTCATGCCTTGGACCTGGCCAGGCCGCTTCGAGAGCTCCCAAGCTGCCCCAAAAACCGAAAAGCTGAGATAGCTGTTGAGGCTGTGCTCATACCCCCCGGCTAGTGGCGACCAAGCCCCAACAAACAACGTGAGCCGCACATCTGGGAACATCAACTTATCCCAAGCGGGAGACGCCTCCCGGAAAACAACCCAGTCGCCATCGTTGAAGCCATGACGACGGTCCTGGTGTGTGTGCACCTGGAAGACTTTCAAGGAGGTGCGCTGGGACTGTAAACGTGGAACTTCGAAGCCAGGGCTACACGACTCTGAGTCTCCGGTGTGGGAGTGCGGGGCTCGAGGCTTCGAGTTTGCACTAGCCTGTCCTGAGACCATGCGAAGTGAAAGTCGAGGCACCGTGCCAGGGCTCTCGAGCGTGACACCGGAGACTATGGCGCTTCGTGGCTCCTCGCCGTCCTGCACGATCGTAAAGATCGTCAATCAACATAAGCGAGCTAGCAACAGATAAAATCAATACTTCACTCCCAGTAAGTGCAATCAAGAACCACCGACAAAGGCAACATCAGAACTGTCACCTCCAAACTTGTCGACGCTGCCTTTGTCATCGCCATCGCGACCGATCTTAACCAACAGCATTGAAGATAGTCTGACGGAACCTATCTGACGGGGGCAGATAGTATATGATGGGCGAATGTGACGGGGACACATTATCTGGCGGCGGGCGGAAACCTCTAACCTCTAACCAGTAGGTCTCTGAAGGGGTGTTAATGGGAACTCTTGATTAATAACCCCCCCCCCCCCACGCAAGGTAGGTCGGCCGGTGGCCCAGATCGCCCCCCCCAAATAACTTTTAATTAAGAAAACAAAAATCCAAACCCACGCCCAGCCTGAAGACTGGAATTCAATTTGGGAGGCGTCATGGGACGCGGGTTGCCATTAATCGTGGGGGNNGTTTTGGCAAGGCTTTTCAGTGCCCAGGGGGGGGGGCTCTTGTGGAAGAGGCCAGCGCCTTTAAAACATGTTTTCAGCCAGGTCCGTGGCCAGCGCGGGATGCCTTTAATCAGGGAGGGCTTATCAATCAAGAGTTGACGTTAGAGTAAGAGGTTTTGTGAGGTACATTATCGTCAAAGCACCTCAAACCGCATCCTGAAGTAAACCGATGTACCCTAGAAGGACATGAAGGGAGCTAAAAGTGACCTGCAAGTGAACCCCTAGAAGGGCCCTTAAATAGGACCCTCAGAGGGAGCTTAAAAGCGCCCCATCTCTGCAGGGTTCCGTTCCAGCCCCTTTAGAAAATTCCCCTTCGCAGCATCATCGTCATCACAAGAATGAACAGTTTTTCCTTGACCTTCAGCACGATCCTCGCAGGATGCTGTGTGTTCACTATCATCGCCATGCTTGCCATTATCATCATCACCACAACGAGCTGCTAGCGCAGTGGCATGAACCCATCGGCCCGCCTTGTCCCGGCATGTGAACGACTCCCCAAAGTCGACAAAAACCGAGGAGGCAAGCCTGGAAGAGCTGCGCAAACGATGAAGGTATATGATTCTGATGTATAGACATAAACTGTAGCATCTGGTAGATTGTAGACTTTGTGCGCCATACATGAACACCGCGGTATGACAAACATTAAAGCATCAGCAAACGCAGTGCAATGGAATATAGCGCAGTACAGCCAAGCATTATGGCAGGGCCTTGAATAGTGAATAGTCATGGTTTGTCCTCGGGATTGCTTCGTAATTTCATCGTCCTTGAAGCTTAAATCCTCCATAACACCGCAAACAATCTAATTCTATGGCAGCATGAACGCTTCCATGGTTTGCAAGAGTTTCTGTTGCTAGCCAGTCTTCCCAGCAGATGCAACCTGGGGTAGCACCGGGCTCATGAACTGTTTAGGCGACAAAGACTGCAAGTGTGCATTCAAGAGGAGAACCACCCTTGCCGTGAGGGTCAAAAGCTTCAGTCGGAAGAATGCACTCTTGTTGGTTAAGACTTACACCAGTCCAACTACCTCTATCCAAGTCCAAATGCACAAACACCAAACCCCCTTTGAACCCAAACCATAACAGACCTGAATTCCCGGAGACTCCGAGCAGCCGGCCCGAAACAGTCCGCGGCGATAAAGCCAACAGGTGGATTTCGAGTCCGGCAAACTTCATTCCACCTCCCCATGGGCCAGAAAAGAACATTCCAATTCTAGTTCCTTCCGGCGTGGCTTACCGGTTTCCTCGCGGTTAGTTTGTTGTCTGCAGTGTCCAGGGCATCGGGCCTAGCAGGCATACAAACATTCTGAGGCTCATTGCTTGTCCGCTCCAGTTGTTCCAACCCCGGAAAAACATGCATTCTATCCCCCAAACACACATGGGGACGTGCATACCTGCATGTTTCAATGCATAAGCATCCACAGACAGCTCGCAAACATCCCCAAGTCGCGCTTCTAAGCAGATGGCGTGGTTTCAGAAGACAACCCCGAGCATAGATCTCTCAGTCTCTGAGCTTGTTGTAAATCGTCGTAGGACCATCTTGGAAAGAAGTACATGCAGAGCGCCAGTGCAAGCATCAGAGGAACGGTGTCGTGAACCAGCGACCCACACCCTCAGACACATGCCGCACTGCTGTTGCACAGGTCTGGCTGCCATCTCAGAGCTCCTACAGCTCCAGAGTAACAGGCCAGTGCCAGCCTCAACAGCTCCGACTGGCTCGTCTCGGAAAAGACGACCAGGGACACCCCTGACAGGAGCTTTTCGGTCAGCGGCCTGGGGCTGCATTTTCGGTTCTCGGAGTCTTGGAGTCGCGTTTCTTGTCGGCTTAGGGTCTTTGACAAGACAGACCGAGTCCGTTGAAAGTTGAAAGCTTGGAGGTTCGAGCTTCTTCGGCGCTTCTTCGGGAAGCTCTTCACCGCGTAGGACCCTGCATGTTTTGCTGCACTATACTGATTGCTCATCCCCATGTGCTGACAAGAAAGGCAGATGCGTTGCAAGGCCTCACCGGCTTTCCCAACGACTCAGGCTGCCGCCCCTGATGCGTCCGCACCGAAACGTAAGGATTGAGCCTTGGCGCAGCGAGGAACGGCCGTTTTAAGGGTATAGGGTGCCTGCAGGTTCAGGCTGAGAATCTTTTCTGTTTCTGGATCCTCTTTGCAAGCCAGCTGTCAGTCGACTTGTAGATGGCATCTGATCTGAACTAGGTAAGGGCATCACCCCTGCAGTCCTGGACCCTTGAAGATGATCTCGGTCTGATTGCACCATTGAACATTGCTGTCGCCCATAGGCCATAGACCTCCTGCTCCTAGCTACCCGATCTCCAACCTGAAGCTGAACCCTCTGAACTTTCAACCGAGATTCAGGTGGTTCCAGTGGACTGAGCCATCTGTGCATGCAGCCCATAGCCACTGATACCCACTCGTAACAGCTGGAAACCCTAGAAACCCTGAAACATCCCGGGCTCCACCCTATCACATCTCCCTTGACCATGCAGCCCGAGGCACTGAACGATGGAGGAATCTTGGAACGGGGTTGCAAGCCTTTCGTAGCCTCCCTCACTCCCCCAACTAGGCTGAGATGGCGGCTCGGACAGCTGCTTTAGGCTTGCCTTCACTGCTGCTGGCACGAGGTAGGTGAAGCCCCGGTGAACTCGGCAAAGTGCCATCTAGCCAAGCCCTAAACCTGGCAAAGGTGCCGGGCCCAAATTTGTAGAGCTCGCCAGTGCAAGCATGACTCAAACTACAGGCGTGGAGAGTGCTCGGACTCATATTGCGCTGGGCATCTTGCCGAGAGCATAAGACAATTTCGATTTGCTTCGCGAAGCATCCCTGCCATGTCCTGCGACTTGCAGCCTTCAACCAGCTAGGAGAAGAACACGGTGCCAAGTCCGCGTACAGCTTGAGGCTTGAGGGACATCAAGAGGGGGCAAGGCGACGTGCCTCGGCCCGCATCCGGCTGCCCACATCCTGCTCCGTCAGGTAGAAGTTGGCACCCAAGTCCCGCCTTAACAGAACTGCAAGGCATCCTAAACTTTACCAAACGAAAGCCTAAAGCTCTAAGCCCAAACTCGATTTAGCGCAGTCCTGGGAAATCCCGGCCGCTGGGAGCTTCCAAGCCGGCGAGGATATGCTTTTGCTTTGGTTTCTTCTCCAGGGCTTAGGCTTACTGAGCCTTACTGAACGCTTTCGTGCATTCGATTCGAAATCGGCATTGAAGCTTCAAGCAAGGAAGGGACAGCTCTTGTCTCGGATCTTTAAACCCAATACTATGACTATAGCAAGCTCCTTGTGCCACTCTTTCAATCCTAACAACCCTTCGCAGAATCGATTCAGGTACTGCTGGCTGCAGAATCAGAAGTAGGCCCACTGCTGCTCAGCAATCGAATCATCATGCAGGATCACCTAAGCTAGGCCAGTCAGGATGTTTAAGGCTTCGAAGCTGACTGCAAGCAGCAGTGTCGGGTCTCAGGGCACCCGAATTCCTTGAGACTACATACTATCAAAACAGCCAAACACAGATTGAAGTTCTGAAGAAGGCCCCTGAATTAAAGTAGTCTTGTTGTTGGCGGGAGGGGGAGGGCTTTTCGACTCCTGACAGGCTGCTTCCAAAGAGTTCAGGGAAGATGTCCATGCCAGTCGCGAAGGCCCCGACTTATATTACTTGTCGGAGGTCGACTCAACCCCTGGCCGGGGAAGCAAAGCTAGCTGTTGCTCCTGGACTGCCCATGCACGACTGCCCAAATTCACCGCGCAAACTTTCCGAAGGGATGAAGGCTAAAGCACCAAAACCCAAAGCAGGTATCTTTTCTCTCATCGCTGTCCATTCCTATGGTCCCCCGAGCTTTCAATTTTCCGGCCAAACTTGTCAGGTGTAGATTTTATTCGTCGTGGCAGGAGCCGAGTCCGCTCTAGACCCCAGCCCCCAGCTCTGCATCCCAGATGCTCTGTATCCAAGTCCTTCTACTTGCGCACAGAACTGCTTCAGATAATCGCAAGCTGCCCGACAAAGGCCCCAAGGTTCGGGCCATAGCAGGTCCGGCGAGGATAAGGTTCTTGGCGACCTCTACCTCGGGCTCGCATTAGGGCCACGGCTCTTAGAACCCTTGAGGCCACGAGCCCTCCGTGATCCACCGACCTCCGTCCGCCTGAACCGTGCTAAACTGTCGAATGTGCAAGCAAGGGGTCTCTCCGTCCCACACTCTCTGCCAGGCATCCGAAGCCTTGCACCCAGAATCTGGAAACGCTGGAAGCAGGGTCGGGTTTCAAGTGTCAGGACCCGGAGCCCTAGCCGTCGGCCTGAAACCTCAGGGGCCTTTCTGGCTGCTCCTTCCTGCTGAGGATGTAGATTGGTTTCGGTTTCTCTTCTCTGTACTTGGACATGGTTGCCAGCAGGTGCCTCCTGGTTGCCCCTTCAGTTGTGACGCTTTGGGTATACTTGCGTCCGTGAGAACATCACTAGCCGGGCGTGGGATCCTGTGCGACTTGGCAAAGCTGTCAGTCTTGGGAAGTTTTTGAGGTCGAGGAATTGAAGCACAACCTCGTATGGCTCCAAGTCATGCAATAGCTCTACATGTCGGATCCCACAGAAACTCAAGGTCGCAAAAAGTATCCGAGACCAATTCCAAAACCAAAAATGTTGGAGCTGCACCAAGCCTTCATACGTGCACCCTGATCATTTCAAGCTCGACCCTCGACCCATTGATTCCTGGGCTGTCCGGCTCCTAAACCCCGAAGGCCGGAGATGAGGACCTCGTGCAAGATTGAGGAGGACGAAGCTTGGGGGGACAGGGCTTGGGCTTTCGAGCTCACAGCTTACGGGCACAGTGGGATTGGGATGCGACTTGTCACCTGCATCTCCCCTTTCTGTTGCGTCTTCGGCTTCAGGTTTCAAGCTACCCGCATGTGCCCTGTGGCACCAGGAGTCGAGTGTTTCGTGTCCGTAGCTGGCAGTGTACACCTGCTTGCAAAAAGTCCAAAGTCATTGTGAATGCATGGGGCTGTTGGGCGGCAGTTCGTCGACCTTGCTGACGCGAAAGCACGGATTGGTTCGTTCCAGATTCGCTTAGGCTGCAAGCACCGATCTGGACGTGCCTCGCCCTCTACTGCTCATCTTCCAGTTTTCCACTCTGGGTATAGCGTGCTATCACCAAGTTTGTTTTCAATTTACTCGGCGTGGGGTCGTTGCCGAGGACGTGAGGTGGGAGATCCTGGAAGAAGCCAATCTCGAACCCGATCATCTCCTACCGATCTCCGGCCACTGCCTGCATTCTGTCAAAACTGTGCTTCGAGACCGTAGCTAAACCCGTCCTGAGCGTGCTGGGAGAATCGGCCTTCATCTGGATGAGCTTCCCCATGGTCTCCATGCCGAAGGTGCCGATCTGCCGGCTGTACAAGTTGGTGTCGATCGCAGTCTCCGACCTTGCCGCGACTCCATGCGGTGGCAAGGCGACGCGGTAAGAAGGGCATCAGCTGGGTGAGCATTGAATCGCACCGGGTTCTACAAGCAACAAAACCTGCGCGTCTCCGGCCCTTGGCCCAAACAGACTCAGAGACTCAAAGCTACCAGGGTCACGCAATGTTCTGTGTTTCGCTTCGCAGCATTAAGGCTTCGCAGGCTTCGCTCCTGCTCCTATGATCCTATGGGGTATGCACAAGTGCCCCAAGATGTCAACCATGCCTGAGATCTGCAGATCGGCATCGTGGGCAAACACATCAGAATTTGCCTTCGAAAGGTATCCGACCTGTGACCAATACCTGCCGTCACATCATGCCACGTAGCTGCGAGATTCAGAGTCCTATCTAAGTCGCAGTTGTGGACACTGAAGAACCCAAACTAAAGGGGTGCTCTTCGTCCTGAACCCTACAGTAACACCATGAAGCCGTGAAACGCAAGGAAGGCTACGCGTAGACGCTTCCTCACTCCTGGGTCCTGGCATCCTGGCGATCTGAATTCCCGGTGCTCGTCGGCTCTAAAGCCTGGGCCGACAGGCGGTCGACAGGCTTTGACCAGTTCTAAATGGCACTGGCACAGCTGCTGTTATCTCAAAGTGCAGCTGGGTAGCATGAAGCTCTTCGCCCTCCAAGGCCGACATGCAAACTGGCTTGAACCGCTGTCAGGTTTCCATTCTGGATCCGAAGCCTCGACCCTGAGACTATCGACAGTCGCGGCATTAACCGAGGTCATCCGAATCCCGAAATGTCAAGGACTACGGCAACCTCAGCAAATAGATACTTCACAGGGTTCCAGTAAGGTTAGCTTTCAGCCACAGGCCATGTCTAGGGTTGGAGCTGGAGGCCCGATCCGTTCCGCGGTTCTCCGTCCGTGGTTCTTCTGCAGAAAGTATCCCAAGTCATGTGCTTGGCATGATGTGGAGCGACTGGGATAGGGAACCTTTCCAACGCAAACGGAAAAAGCCTCACCGTTGGAAGTCGTGAGTGGGTTTCGAACGACTTGGCACTGTAGCGGATCATTGAAGTGCACTTCTTGTCAGAGGCTCCTGTGCAGCTTTTTGCGCACCCTCTGCCTCACTTTCGCCGCGCCTGTTGCGCTGTCTTGTGCTCTTGTGAGCATGGGATTCTACTCGCATGCCCCTCATAAAAAGGATGACGAGCACAATCGAACTTAAACATAAAGAGCCATTGACACCCCTGTTGACGGGTTCAAAAAGTGAAAATGTCATTTATGGGCTTGAACCCCAAGTGAGAATGAACTACAGCCCGGATTTTCAAAACTAGTCCATCTCAACGGCCCATGCAGCAGAGGCATGCGCTGCTTTGCGGGCCAAGCTGGAGACAGCGGCCCCCTTGCTTCTGCTAGCCCTCAGCACTTACAGGTTCTCCGTTCGGCTTGGACAACCAATAAATCAGCCACCGTCACACTCAATGTAACTTTTCGTCGCTGACTGGAACCAAGCTGACCACAGATTCAAGCTGCCTACGTGGATAAACCCGCAAGTGGAAGGGGCGAGTGCTCTTCGCTTCTTGGAGTGCAGGATGCAGGCTCGATTTCCGAACCACAACTCGTACCGTGCCACTTCCAGTCCCTTACACAAACGCACATCATTACGTGTTTGTTATGCTTGGCGATGATCATTTTCCTATCGTCAGGCTATTGATGTGGGCATGCGTTCCACACATAGTTGCAAGGTTGTTTGGGGCGGAGTGCTACACTACCATGGCTCGGCCACCGCTTCCTACCTCCTTCGTGGGAAGTCCCAGCATCAGCATCAATATGAGCATGGTCGTACCAAGTGATAAACTTCAACTGAAACTATCAACAGCCGCAAAGCCACTAAGAGGGCGTGAAGAAAACCAACGACACTCATACTCGGACGGAGGAGTCGCACCCTGCTCACCAATGGACGGCTACATCGAGCGCTCCGGACTCCCGTGGGCCATATCAGCTTTGTTGCACCGGCGGAATCTGGAACGAGCCGGCTTATTCGAGAAACAGGTAGTCTGGCGAGGAACTCGTCTAGTGGATGAGGCCAAGGGAGTCACATTTCGCCGCTCTGTGAAAGCTTCGGTCGGCTGGATCTCTGCGCGCTGCAGCAGATCAATTTGGCTTGTGGAGGGTTAGTTGGAGGGATTGTCACCGTCTTCGGGTGGTTCGGGATTGAACCGCCTGCCGTTCTTCCATAGTTGCCAGACAGAAGCCCAGCTAAAGCATCACAACTGCAACATGAACAGCAAATTGAAACCTGAAAACCTTAGCCGCACAGGCGCTGAAGATTCGCAGGTGGGGTGTCTGGTTCAGGTAGGTGGAGGAACACGGAACATGCGGGAGATGATCCCAGCTTGGGGGGGGAGCCAACTCTGAAGTGCTCTCGAAGAGTATTTGGAAGGGTTCACTTTGGGTTCTGCTCCAGTGTCTTCAGCAGCCGAAACAGCGAGGCGGCCTCGCAAGGTGCAGTGTCTTTGAGGGCGCTTCGGGGTTCTCAGGCCCTTCCCCCACTGTGGCTAGGTGCAACTTTCAGTACTGCGACTGTGATGGCTCTAGGCCTTGAGTTCCAGAGCGCAGGCATGCCACCTACTGGGCTTTTGGTGCTTCTGGCAATCACTGTCCGGTACAAGATCCTTCCGAAGTCAAGCCTGCAATTAATCCTTGAGGTGCAAGTTGACAGTCATGGTGTTTCTGGCGGTCTCAACGGCAGCGTCTCTCGTTGTTGATGTGGCATGCACCGCACAATAGCTTCTGTACCTCTCCGTTGTTCCAAGAACTCAATCCAAATTCCGATACCGCAAACGAACCCCGAGCAGGGTTCCTCATCATCCAACTTTCGAGCTTCCACTTCAAATAATTATCCCCTGGCTCCGCTCCTCAGCCACCAATTCAACTGCACGATTTCATAATTAGACCCAAGCGCCCGAGATACCCGCAAGCTTAAAGGTTGATCCACCAAGAATGCTCGGAATGTAAGGAGTGGGGCTTGCAGCCTTGTGCCTTTTCGAGAAGGCCTATGGCCTAGGGCCTAAGGCATACCGTTCGGGCTTCGGCTTTGCAGCTGTCGCCTCGCGAATGCGGCTGAACTCGATGCAGAAGGCCTGCACCTCTATGAACAAGTCCTGCACCTCCAGCTTGCCAACGGGAATATGCAAAATCGAGAAGCGTCGATCATGTGAACACCCCAGCGGCATCCATGATATGTTTATGAGCCATGACAGCTATGATCGTTCGGAGAAGTCAGCCGGGTTTGGGGGAACCGGTGATGTCAGGAACCGAGAACGAAGTAAAGTCGCAAAGATACTCTCGAGACAATGAGGCGGCAAAGCAGTCAGCACAGCTGTCATTCTTCATGAACGCAACATGTCTCACAAAGGCACGATGGCAACAAGCACATGTGTCACCGACGATGCATTCTCCCCGCACAGTCCAACCAGGCAACATCCTGTTGGATGCGCTGAAGCGCTAAGGACTGCTTTAAATTACTTCTTCCAGCTTCCGGGTCGCGCACATTGATGATCTTGTTGCGGATCAGCGAGGTCAGGAACACGCAGACCTAATTCACAGGGGAATCAGTCTTTGTCGGTTCGGAGCTTGGGAGCGCAAATCTGTAACACCCCATGCCCGAAGCCTCAAAACCCAAAATGCAGATCTGATCTGATGACGAATTCGCTTTAACAGCTCCGGAACCCGCAGAGTTCGAAACCGGCCATGCTGGAGGTTTGGAATACAAGCTTTCCGGTTTACAGCCGGCACTCTAGGCAATGAGGGGCTGGATCAAAGCACAATAAGAGCTAACCGTACTTACTTGTGGCAAAGGGGGCGCTTCAGATAATATGCAGTCTACTTGTCGGATCTTATATCTCGACTTCCTTTGCCCCCTCGGCTCTCGTCATGCCTGCTCTGCTGCAAGACGGATCTGTGTCCTGAAACTCTACGCAATTAGACCTCAGTTTAAACCGACATGTCGTAGTGATGGCCTGGGCAGGGCCTCAAGAACGCCTTGCATGAGACGAGGCGGGGAAGAAGGTGCACGAGAGCCAGCTCTCGTGCTCGTTTGGTGGCAGAGACTTCGAAGTCTCGAAGCCGGCCTACAGGTCACGAGACTTTTAGGCCTTTAGGCGCTTTAGGCTCCCCACGAGGCGAACCAAGCGGTTCTGCATGTACTTGTCCTGGCGCCGAGGGAAGAGAGCCCAAAAAAGAACGCTTAGCCTGGGATTCTCGGCATCATCAAAGTTGGCAGAGGCTTTGGCATTTGTCCCGCATTGCCGGATTTCGGACCGAGGACTTACCCAGGCAGACTCAACTCGAAACAATTGCAAGAGAATGAATGTGTCAATGCAGCAGCCAGATGTTCAGATCGGAGAGCCTGCAGATGACCGGAGTCTGCAAGGCGCACACTTGACATGAATTCAAGCGGGAAAGAGGGTCTGCAGAATTTCAGCAGGTTTCCTGCCAGAGCACCGTGGGGCGGGCCTTCGCTGTGCTCTCCGAACGGATCCCATCACACTGGCTGGTACCAACGGTATCGCACATGCTGAATCTGTCTGAAGCCCGAAAGCCCGCATCAGCCCACAAGACAGCTACGCCAAAATGCTGGAATGGGACACACACATGGGACCTTAAACCCTGAAATGAAGGTCGCTGCACCTTGATGTTTTCGCAAGAGGAGATGCAGTTGGAGATATAGAGATGCACCTCTGCATTCTCAACGGCAATCCTGTTAGACTGATCAATGATACGACTACTGCCCTGATGTAACATGATGAAAATGTAGCGGGTTGAACTTGGGTGATTTCAGCGGCTGGTAAGATTGTTGAGTTCGGTTTGTGGGGTCCTGGTCGTTTTGGACCTGAAGGCTTCGAGAAGCTGACTCTGAACCCAACAAGATCTGAGCGGACATGTGGAACCGTCCTAAAGCTGCGGCGTCCAGCCCTTGTCGCACAAGCCCTTGAATCCTGCGTCCAAGTTCATGCTGACGAAGGCCACAACCGAAATCCGAACCCCTCGAAGTCCAACTGCGACAACTGAGACACTGATGTGCTGCACGGACAACCCCAAAAGCCAAAGCCCTGACTCCTAAATAGGATCCCAAATCTGAAACTCCGAAGGCCCAATTCGGTTTAAACAAAGACTAGAAAGACCTGTCGTCACACAGTTGTCATGAACAAGGCCCGCACAAACTCTGGAGGCAGATCTACAGATGTCGTCAGTCTGTTCACGACCTGCGGGCAGGCAGTGCTTTCCCCCTTGCAGGATCCATGCAAGTCCAGGACGTGGTTCGACTTGCAACAGTTGGACACCCAAGACTTAAATCCTGACGCGCAACAGCGATGTAGGTGTTGAGTTCTATGCAATCGTGAACCTTGGAGACCATTTCACTCAGATACCCTGGCTCTGCACTAAGCATTTTGTCATGGCCAAGCAACGACACGACATGTGGAAACTACAGTAGCTAGACTTACAACAACAATGTAAAACTAATGATGGCAATATTCAGGCGTATTTCTGATAACAGTTGAAACCGGCAGTGATACTTATCTGCACGGAGAATGTCAGCGACAACGAACACGTTCTTTCGACACTTTGAGATCGCTCCTGTCCTAGAAAGAACATGCGATTCAAAGTTGCCGTGGCGATGAATGTTCGCTCACAGGCTCGATGTGCCGTCCCACAGTTTCACCTTAACATATAACATCTGCGCCATCAGCCAGGCTGCACACCTGAGAAGATGAGTGCGTGCCGGTTCATGTCGAGGGCACATCCGTCAAAACCACTTAGGAAATCTGGAATACCTGACCGCCATGGCTCTGTGGCAAGGAGGGATGCTACATAAGCCATGTGCTGTCTCAGCAAAACTTCTCACGGAGTTCCCAACGCTTGAAGGTTCAGGTGCCAAACTCTGCAAAACCGGATGATGACGGACACTTCTGGAGTGAAACTCTCGTGGATCCGAAACTTTGGCCGGGTTCATAGCCTCCATGGAGTGAAGGCTCATCTCCATGTTGACCAAAGCATTGAAGTAGCCCGATATCTGGGAGCCGCCCATCAGCTTTAGAAGAACCTGCTCTCGGGTGTCAGGCTCTCGGTGGATCAAAAGCCAATTAAGACTCGTGAGAGATGCTGACAATTTCAGCGACCTTACGTGGAGGAAGTACTTGAATCGAAGGCTGCTGCTTCTCATCCATGCCAGGCCTCAACCCCTCTCCCACGCTCTTGGTTCAATGCTCTGCCCACCCACCCCCCCCCACGCTGCACCCACGCACATGCACCCACACACCCACGCACACTCTGGGATGTCGTATCACACATTCGTGCCTGTTGCCTGCTAGAAAAGAAGCTGCATGCCGAGCACTCTCCGATCACTCTCCACAGCTTCTTGTGCTAGCTCTTTTTGCGAATCCTACTCATGTAGTCTGGGCGGGGCAGATGCCGCCCGTCCGCCGATGCCTCTCAAACGTGCGGAAAACCGTTGTTGAGCAACCCTTCTTCCCAGCAAACCATGACAGAATGTGGACAAGAGTTATAAGTGATCATCCCAACCAAGTTTTTCCAGCGGCCTCTATGGCGATCTGGGGATTGTTCTCCACCTTGCCAAACAACATGCCAACATGCCATTTGAGGGGCGACTTTGGTCCGAAGCTTGCTAGACACAGAGTGCCCGCCTCCGGAGAGATCCTGATTCCTCCTGAGCCCTCAATGCCTAACGCCTTTTCTTGTAGCGCATGCACTGCATCCTTCCTCAAGACCTTTGCAGAGGTTAGGCAATGCAGGGGCGTTTCTGCGAGAATAACAAATCCTCGCTGGTGCTTGCTGCCCGGCTTTCGCCAACGTAATCCAAGTTGTGTCTGTGAACCATTCCAAGCCCGACATCTTCCAAACGGAGAACCGCTCAACTCACCCAGATCCACATCTTGCTCGGCCCGGCACCAGTTCTGGCAACTTTTTGGCCGTTAACCCACAGTGATAAACCAGCTTGGCATCCTCGCTGCAACTCAGAGGTTTATGGTTCAGTCATGTTCAGCATTGCTGGTTCAGCGATTCCAAGAGGTCAGGGCTCCGACTGCTACAAACTCCGTCTGAACGAAGCTACCACGGAGCCTCCAACTGCCTTACGTCAGACGATACATCCTGAAGGTCACTGCGCTGGCAGTGCCTAGGCAGTCTGTTTCGAAGCCGGGGTTTGCAACGAGCCTGAACACAAGCAGAAGATCAAGCCCGAAGTTTATCCCCACATGCCATGGTCCTGCGCTAGGCCATCTGAGATGATTTGAATCTGCTGCGGCTGCAACTGTGTTTTCACCTGGCAACTGCAAGCTTGCATGTAGAGTCGATCTTTCGAGGCTTCGACTTAATAAAGACAACAGAGCATGTGGGACCAACCGCGATGCTCGTGAAGTTCGCACCGAGGATGCAAGGTCTGCCGGCCCATGTCTTATGGTGCATGTCGAGTTCCATCACTGAACATGTAGGGACGTTTTGGATGCAACCGGGGCAACATGGCAACACATGCCTCGATAGTTTTGAAGTGTGCCTCCTCATCCTCACGCAAACTTTCGCCACGCAATGCCAGAGACAAGCCCGGGTTTTTGTCAGACGCCGTCGCTCGCAGATTCGCGGAACTGATGCCGGGCCCCGGAGGCTTTACAGAAATTGCCCGGATGGGCGTTGCTACGAGCAATCCGAACCATCAACCCTGTGAGGGTCAAAACCCTGCAGCTAAACTTCAGTCTTGCAACCTCCAGCGAATTTGTCCAACATTCCTGCGGTCTACTACGGCTACTATTGTTTCACTCCGCGTCGAAAGTAGCAGCGTCTCGGTTCTTAGAAATTCACGGGCTCGAGGAAAGCACTCGAGGGTTGGGAGATGTTGGGAGCTTGGGAATAGGCCTTGAAGGAACTTCGACAAAGCAAAGGCTTTGGGGGTGCTCTCGACGTGAAGCCTCAACTACGGAGCTTGGTAAGGACACTGTTCGAGGATCGCCGTGGCAGACCCACCGAGCGCGAGCTGAGACAACGATCGGATAGATCTAAAGAACTACAAGCTTCCGCATCCAATCTCACGGGCCCGTGCCCAAACTGGATGCATAGAGCATGGCGAGCGCAGGGAAGCTTAGAGGCTTCGACAGCGTCTGAATCCCGATCCCAAACCAGATGCGATTGGTCGTTAAGCGTGCCCAGAGCAGCCGCTTTTGCGATAAGCTCCTTGACTTCGGAGCCTTAGCATGCAGCATGGCAAATTGTATAAGTTCCCCAACCTACAGACGCAAGCCCCGAGGCAAAAGCCTGAGAGGTCCAAAGCAAAAGCTTGCAGGTTCCAGCGTTGCTGCGGTTTTTGAGGAGCCCGCCGAGGGATGTGTCTGCACACATCGTGTAATCCCAAAGCCTCAGCTGAGCCGAGTTGTGGGAAACGAGGCAATCGAGCAACGTCACCCAAGCACACATTGCTCTTGGGGATGTTTGCTTGCAAAGAGCGTTACAGGTCGACATGCCGTCGGCTTTAGCGCCGGAAGCCCTGTCATAGCCCTAAACCACTCGGCATCCACAACGGTTAGTCCGACACTCCAAGTCTCGGGTGCTGGAACCCCTATGGACTTCGGGTGGCACCGGTTCTTCCAAGCGGCGGCTCCGACAGCAGATGGGGCGGAGTTAGCCAGAAGACCTCCGTTTTTTCCAGGCAAAGCTTCAGGGCTGGGGCGGATAAGACAAGTGACAGGCCATGAATTCCTGAATTCCTGAAAGCAACCTGTTTGGCTTCATGCATCGTACTCGTTGGGTGGCCAGCTTTCGTTTTGAATCTCATGTACTGATGCTGTCAGCGGTCAACTTGCGCAATTGCTACGCAAGCTACTCTGACAAGATTGTCGCATCTGTTACCGGCATGGGCATAGGAAAAAATCTTGGTCGGCAGATCTGGGCATAGCCTAAGATTAGGAAGCCTGGAGGCTGAGGGAACACGTCCCAAAGAACCTCGTCCAGGTCCAGATTGGAGCTCCGCAGGCCTGACGCCTCCTAGACATTCCGCTCACCCGAACCTAGGCTGAATTTCGATCCCAAATCCTGAATGCTGAATCCGTGAAGCTGCTGATATCCTTACGCAGAAAATGTCTCTCATCGCATGCCCTGGCTCAAGACATCTCACCTCGTCCACAGTCGGCTCCAAGAGCGGTGGCACGGGTCGCGCCCTGGGTACAACAGCGGGTAGCAGCAGCATGAAGTATCAAGAGAATCGATGACGTAAGCCCAAAGCTTGAGTTGTGAGACGTGCCGATACAGTGGGCTTAGGCTGGGTTTCTCTCGATGCATGATAGGGAAGATGTCAAGATGTTGGGGCCAACAACCGAGGGCCAAACCACAGCAGTGCTCCACACAGGAAGCATTGAACCGAGAGGGCGAACAGCCACTAGCAAGCCCGCTACACCTACCCCTCAATCCATGCCGCGACTGGACCCGCCCTAACCCTCAAACCTTCAGCTCAAAACCTACACCTTAAACTTAAGCTGGTGAGCATCCCCTTACAGAGGCTTCTGAGATGAGGCTTGCGACGTCACTGATGGGCTCAAAGACTAACGCTATTTCAAGCGTCTTGTACCTTTGCAAAGAGTCCTGCTATATGTCTTGATACATACCGGAGTATCAACCAAACTGCGATGCCAGCAATTGTGGGTTCGTAAACATGTCGACAAAAGTATATGGACATCGGTCCGTTTAATATGTATGCCTGTATGTGTGGATGTGATTCTGCATGCATGCGCGTATGTCTGCGCGTTTGCATGCATGCACAGATGCCCACAGATGGTGACTTATTCGTGTAAGCAAGTTTGAGGCTGGCGCCAGCAGGGTTCCAATGAAAGCATTGTCAGCTCCTTACCGAAGGATGATTTAATTAAAGATGATTTCGTCCTTTCCTGGGTACAGTGTCATCCCAGAGAGGTATCCCGAAGGAAGGCCGCCCAGCAAGGGCCGTTTCAGGCTCCAAAGTTTCGAGATTTGTGGGGCTTGGACATGCGGCGGGGATTGAGGGTGTTGCATGACATAACGACCTGGCAGCTAAGGCTTGGTGCTCAGCAGTTTAGGGCCCTAAAGGGTCCTCCATTGAGCGGCACGCAGCCCGCAAATTCAATCAAAGGAACCAGAAGGTTCACGATGGCTCACGAGTTCGGGCAGAATGAAATGTCACAGGCCGGTTTTGCAGAGATTGGCAGATCGTATATGTGATGGCTGAAGCAACCCACGGCCCGAGACACAACCCTGAGTCTCGAGGTGACTGCTAGGTCTAAAGGAGTCCTAAGCCCTACGCATACACAGTGAACTCCCATGCCAAAGAAGCCTGACTTAAGCCCTGCAGCTCCCAACGCCACAAAACACAACAAAACTACAAAAATGTCCCGTCGCTCCTCCGGGTTCAGCTCTATGCTCTCTGTTCCAGTGACCTCGGCATGACAAAGACCCTCTGATTGCACAGCAAGCAAGACTTGCAGCAGCCCTCATCGCTACCGCTTCAAATCCTCGAATCCCTAAGCTGGTGAGACTTACAACTTAGGACAGACTCGAGATGCTGCCAGCGCGCATCTTCCACGTCCTCGCCCAAGCTATTTGGGGGCAGCGGAGATGGAACCTGCAAGAACAAAAGTCTCGCGCTCAAAAGAGTTCGAGACTTCATGCATCCTTGATGCCAGACACTCCTCAGCTACCCCGGCCTCAAAGTACCGGAAGCCCACAGCCACCAGCAGCCCTAAAATCCCAAACCCTCTAAAACAACTGACCGAGTCCCGCAATCTTACAGCCTTCAGCCTGAAACCCCGAGCAAGCCTACAACGAACATCCAAGTTGAATTTACAGCGGAAGTATCTTCGACTTCAAACTGGGCTCAAGAGGCTGCAGTTTGAGGGTGGAAGTCCGCCAAGACAGGACTTGGGAAGGCTTGAGTTTTCACACACTGTGCACTCCCATACGGATTTTGCACACCTGTCAACCAAAACCGTCTTGCGAAACTCTGTTCCTTTCCCTCCACCGCCCCCTCAACGGCCATCTCAAGAACACGATCATGTGACCTGAGGGAACTTTACAGATGGTTCCTCTTTCGCTACCTATTACTCGAGGCCACGAAAACCAGGAACCCTGCCCCACTCTGACTTTTCACCAGTCCTTTCTTTGTGACGCATCCGAGGCTGCGGCCCAATACCGTTCGTCTGACCTTCGGGGGTCGCTCGGGCTCGACGGTATATAATACGGGATAATATACAGCCTGAGCCCTGTACGAAGGCTCGTCAAGTGGATTGAAGACACCATGGTGCAACAGCCCAATACACACAGCCACAGGCTATAGGTCTCAAATGTTGTGCATCGCTGGTCGGTGCATCCCCATCAACATCAGTCTGCTGAACCGGAATGCGAATGTGAACTGCTAGAGCCCGAGAGTTGCTCAGCTCTGAACGCTTCTTTGATGACGGGTCGGATGCCCAATGCGGCGCTTGCGCTAACCTGAGTCTGTGGCCGCTCCGGCTTCGCCAGTCAGTGGGGACGGGGCATGGGACTTATGAGATGCCCGGACAGGGTTTGGCATTTTCCAGACATATGTGTCTGCAGGCGTCTCGACCGCGGTTAGAATGAGATGAAGAGGCCGTTTGAAGCTCTACATGGACTTCAAGCTGACAGCTGCAGATGTCCCAGACAAAAAGACTTTGAGTACAGCGCTGCTGCGTGCCCCCTTTTATACGCGCAGTTTGACGGAGATGTCTCCCGTATCCCTGCTTCGATGCACATTAGTCGGGTGATACCAAGCCTAAAGCTCAAGGTTTTCATTGTCAAGCTTGCCAACATTGAAAAGCTGCGAAGCTATGCCAAGCCGCTAAGATAACCCTTGGAGTGGTGCTCTAAAACCTCAGATGCCGATCTCTCCTTGGGCCCATGGCGGCCGGGGCTCCGTCCTGGTGCATGCTCCGGACCTTGGCTCAATCTCTAGGACTCTGAGGCCGTTTAGGGTCGGGTCAGATGGCGTTTTGGGGGGCTTCTTGGCATTTGAGGTTTAGTGCCCTCGCAGTCTTCGCTAGCCAGATATTGTCAATTCTGCCGTAGACCGGCTCGAGCAGGAGTCAACGTCTGTGAGTGCTAACGCCTGCTGAAAACAACTGGACCAACACAAGAGTGACAACAACACTATGTCACGATAGCAAAGGCCACATCCACAACGCGGTTGAAATGCACCACAGCCCTCTCTCTCGAGCCCAAAAAAGTCTCCAATCTTCAGCGACACTGCCGAAGGCATCGAAAGAATCGACCTGAGCCACAGCCTTAAACCCTCGATAATCCGAATCCCAGCCGGGTTGCCATGTCGAGGTCTGGGAGGGCTGGAATGTCGTTTGGATCGCAGCCTCGGGCAATCGAAAGCATTTGGGACTTCTTGGCCCTGCATGGGGTCTTGACGGCTCAAAGGGTTTCCAGGCTGGGCGGGAAGCAAATGTCAGCCTTGGAAGGTTTGGGCGAGGCTTGCTTTAGGTGTTTGACATCGGCTGCAAATATTACGGAACTCCGGCTGGTCGGATGTAGAGCTTCGGGCGATCACTGAAATTTCTGCAGATCTCAGTGCTGCTAGAAGTTTGGATAACAACCTGACTTAAATTTCTTGCTTCTTGCCTCTTCGTTTTCTCGGTCAAGCTGCGACTTCTGTGAGAGATCACTATAACTTATAACCCCAGTTCGATATTCGTCCAGTCTACATGCGTGTATACTGGGAGCGAGAGGTTGCGAGAGACGGCTGGCACGCTATCGTTCCGTCGACGACCACAGCCCTCATCTAATCGAAGGGTCGAAAGCATGGGAACCTCAAGCGTCGCACTTCCTCTCGAGGATAGTCACGAACGCCAACGCTATCCACCCTTAGCCCACATCCAAAGATGCCCACTTTGCACGAACTGGTTCACGGTCTGCTTGTGAAGGTCCTGCGGGACTGCTAGTAGCTTCGCCCGCATTCATATTCTGACAAGGAGGTCCTTGAAACCGTTATCGTGTCGGTATCTACCAGACAGGGTTAAGTTTGGAAGATGTATGACCTCGAGATGTCTGGGTTCTCCGGCTGAGACCCTCAACCTCACAAAGCCAGTCGCCAATTGCAGGGCTTGGTCTATTTGGGTAGTGCAATCGGACAAGTGTGGAATAGGAACACGGGACACCGGGGCAGGACTTGGCTTGCTTCTTTGCTTCGCTTGGCTCTATCAAAACGGCTTGTTCGGGAAAAGACAATTGAGTGGAATCCCCAAACTGAATCCATGCGCTTCCTCAACCTGGCCACCACATGCTTTCAAGTCTCTGCCATCCCAGTAAGTCTCTGTCAGCATCCCAAGCTCGGCCCTTGACCTGTTGTGCTTCAGTCCGAAAGTGTGCAGTACACCGCTCGATTTTTTTTTGCGATCCAGCAGGTTCGATGGTTGTGATCGATGTTGTGGTGTGGAAACATTGGGCTGCCAGCTCCCCTGTTCACGGCTCCATGCAATTGCATGCATGACTAATGCGATGCGTTCCCAACCAGTAGCCGCCAAAAAATGAACTCTTTTGCAGGTAGAAGACACTCCGGAAGAGAACTCAATCATCTGCCATCAGCAGACCAACTTGCGAAGCCACGCCCTGAAACAGATTGAATGAAAAGACGGGTCCTTCGGTGGATTTGACAGGAACTGGAGCAGGAATTTTCGCTCCACACCATCATCTGCAGCGTTCAGGACATAAGTCTGGTTGCTCGGTCTCAGATGTTGGATGAGGCTTTGGGCTTCCATTTTCACTGTTGCGAAGCGGGGCTTACTTCGAACGTCTTGAAAAAGGCCCTTTGGCAGGGAGACCCATCCTGGACTCACTTCATTCCGACGTGGAACAGACTCTGAGCCTTCTGCCTGGGGCCTTGCGTTCACGTTTGCGTCTGGAACAGAAACTATGAGAATCTGGAGACAACCGGAAACGCTCGAACTGCAAGCACCACACAAGCTGGGGGGAGAAGCGGAGTACTTCGTCTTCTGCGGATCGTTCGTCTATGGCACCGAGCTTTAGCGTTCTCTAGCAGCACCTTCCCTAACGGCCCCAAGAGCAGCGACTTCAAGCTAAGAAGCCCTTACCCGAAAGAATCGCGCTTGGCATTTTGAAGCGGGCGACGTCTGCACAAAACGAAACATCACTGACACGGTGTTGTGGGCGAACCTTTAATGCCCTTTAATACATAAAAAAACTGAGGAGACCGCAGCTTGTCTCTAACATCTCCACCACCAGTGGCACGAAGGGAGTGGTGGCGGTCTCCCGTTCAGTGCCCCGGTCATTCCTGCACAGGTTCTGGAGTTTCAGGATGAAGGCTCTCAGGCTGTTGAAAGCCATTTACCAAGGAGGATTTGGTCTGTGCTGGATTCCAATGGCGGCTGTTTCTGTTGTCTTCTTTGACCCATGGGAGGCAGATTGCTTGACTCTCGGAGTTGCTGCTATCTGACCTTGCTACAAGTAGTGCAACAGTTTACCGAGTCTAAAGGCGCGACATCGGTACCCTGCTTTGCCTATCCAGATCTCAGACAGTAGGGAAGGAAGTTTTACATCCGAACTCACTGTAGTGTGCCCTTGTCGGTTCGCCCACCCTCTGGTCTCAGTCAGCAGCAGCTTATGATGGGATGAACAAAGAGGCGGCCCAAGGCATCAAGCAACCCAATCGGCGAAACGTCGAAATCCTTCGTTGGCTTCTAGTCCGCCCCTCTTGTTATACCCTCGACCCTCGGGCACTGAAGAACCAGACTCAGAGGCCTGTAAATGTCGTAGAGGAGGTAGTACGAAACGAGCCGTTGCGCTTGCGTCAAGAGCTGGTCCTCGCGGCAGAATCAGAAACTGCAGCTGGGGCTCGAGAACGCTGCTGCAATTGCCCAACAAATCACCGACATTACCACAGCAAGGGCTGGATGAAACTGCCGAGAGATCTTATGCTTCGGTTTCTCACCTTATGGCCTAGAGATGTTCAACTGGAAGGAACGGCACCGTCCTGCAGCAGCATGCAAATGACGCATCCGGCTCGAAACCTGGTGAAAGTAGAGTTGCAGGAACCAATCCCGAGAACCCAGGTCTTCAAGTTGCCGAAGGCCCTAAACGACTCAAAGCGCGCGGCACTGCACTGGCCCATGCCCTCAATCGATTGAATCCACGCAAACTCGCGCTGCAATGCGATCGACGAAGTTTAGGAACACACAGATCCACTGAATCTGAACCCTGTATCAGTTAGCAGTACCTTCGCCAGCTTTAGGTGATAATACCACCAGCCTACCACTAACCCACCCATCAGAAGATTATTCCTATAGCCTATACTCCCCCCTGCATCTCACCAACTACATCACCACTACTCCTGAACTTACCAAGATCAGAATAGGAGTATAGGAATAACGGACTACCTGATCCATATCAGAGGATCATTCCTGTAATGGTGCGATATAGTTGGTGAGATATACCTGTAGGGGGAGTATAGGATATTCTTTTAATGGGTGGGTTAGTGGAGGCTGGAGGTACTATCACCCAAAACAAGCAAAGGTTCCGCTAACTCTTTCTGAATCCTCTATGATCCTCAAAATCGAAAGAGCACCTCCTTCAAGATACCCAGATGCCTTTGGTACAGGGAACTCGGAGGCGAGTGACAGGAGTTTAAAGGGTCACAAGGAACGACCACTGAATAGTTTCCGATCCGGCAACTCCGGGGATCCAGCTCTCCGACTCGGAAATCGCATTCACAGCACTTGTGTAGACAACTCGCCTGGTTCCTGGCCTCACCTGTCACGCCAAACTGAAGAGCCTCTCAGGCGACTAAAGCCGGTTTGAGATGTAGTCCGAATCCTAGATTTTGAAAAGCTACACCCTGAAACCTGCTGAGGTCCACGCTGCTCGGATTTTGGGAACTGTTTGTAGAACTGCCCCGCGAGGGTGTCGAAGGGCTTGTTTGCCCTGAGGCTTCGAACAACTCTTCCACTTCATTCAGCGGCAGCACTGTCATAACAGTTTCGATGCAGAATTCAGTATGTAGTTGTTGTGCCTGTTGGCAGCCCTGAAACGAACATGAGGTCCAGACAAGCCGGAGAAGCGACTCGATACGGTTGCTGCAGACTCATCTTTATGCAAAAGCTCTTGGGCAAGCTAGAAAAGCCCTTGAAGGGTGCAGCTCCTGCAGCTTTGCCAAGCGATGCACGTGCGCCGAAGTATGTTAAAGCCATGTCGGACACAGATCTTAAGCCAATAAGCTTCATCTCACCAAGCTTCGGTTCTTCGACCTCCCACTCGCAGGAACGAGGAGCCCGATGAGCTTTGGATTGAGCATTAAGCTACTCTTGGACATGATCTAGAATCTAGACCTCTTAGAGTCACTATAGCCGACACTATGAACCCAGAATCTATTCAAGGCCTTGACTCTCCAGCTCGCTCCATAACGCGAAGCCTGACAAGCCTAACTCAGAAGACTGACCCCAATTCCCGAACTTCTTCTTCCTCAGGCTGCAGGGTTCCGGGCTCTTTGAGCAATTGAAGCAAGCCATCGAGCTCCTGTCAGTGAAGGGCCATCCAAGCATGGAAGGCAGGTCAGACCCCGTGTTCAGGGCCGTACAAATAATACCAAGTAGACACTGGCAGAGAATGAAAGTCACCGGTTTGCTCTTGAGTATGCGAAGAAGGAACAGTTGCAGAGCTGCAGGAATGGCACTCAAGCCTGCGTACAAACCTCAACCCAGGAGCCCCGGAAGGCTGCCTGCTGTGTCAGCATGCTCTCTGCCCACGCTGCACGCGCGGGCCACGTCTCTGCGAGTGCTCGAGCCGCAGTCTTTCACTCCAAAATTGAGGCAACTGAGAAACGGCTGGCCTTAAGCATGCAGTCGGTTCTGTGGGGTTTCGAGCAGCAGAGTTTGTTAAGGGCCTAGCCGTTCCAGGCTAGGCTTTGAGCTCCAGGTCGGAACCTTTGCCAGAGCATGGCAATAGGGGAGTTAGCGGGGCCGCAGCATAAGCTGCCAGGCCTCAGCCGCAATCGGCTCTGCATCCCCCGCCCCGTTCCAAGGCATCGGTTCGACTTGATTCGGGGTGCAGACCACATGCCATAAACGTAGAAGCTCTGCATTCCAACAACGAACAGTCTTCGGGGAACCTTACAGGCCCAAGCCAGGCAACTCGCCAGATTTGTGCCCTCGCCCCGTGTCATCGCGATCGCGGTTATCCGAACCCTAAGCCACAGACCCTACTTGTGATACAGAGACGTGCTCCAGGGTGAACCGACATTAGCGTGAAGCTGTCCTGACTGAGAGGTTCTCTCAAGACAGTTTCGACTGGTTCTTGTGCAGCATGAGACTCGGAGTTAGAGGCCAGCTGCTTCGAGACTCGCCAGTCATTGCAAGAGAACCTTGTCTACGGCCATCTCAGACCGCACGTCTCGGTCCACTCCCAGCCTGGGCGGCTGCAAGAACCCTGCAAAACAGCCCACGAACATGGACACTGCGGGTAGCCCTGGTGCAGGCTGCAAGTTCTCAAGTCCCTAGAACTGCATTTGGTGCGTCTCCTGAACCCGTCTGAACGCGGTTACAATCCTGCTATGCTTCGACAACCACTGTGCTCGGCCCCCCTCTTCCCCTCGGCTGAACACCCGCCAAAAATACAATATCTCCAACGCACCACTACTAGCCAACGTTTCTTCGCACCTCGAAGACTGATTTGGCATAGCCTGGAGCAAGTGAGCAAGCATCCAAGAACTCTTAACTCCCATAACTTCCGGGAGCCCGCGCAGACGTTCGGGTTTCGGGGGGTTCTTGCGCTTCTTGGGACTCTGGAGCCTGGCTTATAGAGTGTACAAGGATGTCAAAAGTTGAGCAATTTACGGCTTCTGTCTGTTTTGGGTCGGTCTGAGGGCTCAGGGTTTTGGACTTGGTGTGGACGCTTGTGAGCCTTGTATGTGAAGACCTGATTGCTTCAGCGGGTGCGGACACACGAAAACGAGGGCTTGTCAAAACACGCAACAATGTCAGGCCGGCATACCGGGCGAAAGCGGGGCGCAAGAACAAGCAGAACGAGAGGGATGGAATGCAGGGGAGGGTGGAACCAGCACACTGCAGGAGAGTTGAAGTTGAATTGACTTGCAGGGCGATGGAGGCTTACTCGCAAATCTGGATGGGCCAGCCTGCTCTGCGGAGCTCTCCGCAAACTTGTTGCTCCTGCGGAGCCAAGCATCATTGACAGAATTAGAGCGTCCCTCTGAGCTGGGTGCTTCGGGGTTGAGGTTCCATCAGCGGGCTTCTGGACCGTTGTAAGCACCTTTGTGGCTGCCAAGTCGGGCTGCAAAAAGCCAGCCAAACCGAACTGCGATGTGAGGTTTGGCTTGAAGTTTTGAAGGGTGGAGAAAGTCACCATCATGTCCAATAAACAATCTGCACACCCAAGAAGTCGCCCAAAAGCCGTGCAGGGCCCCTGCGACTTGGTCACGCTCCTGTTCGTGATCTTTGTGCCCTTCGCATGCGCAGAGCTTCCGACCTCAGATCTTCCACGCAACACGAAAAGCTTGACAAAAGGCTTTGCGTTCGGATTTCCATTTCATCGTCTGTCTGCAGCTTGCGACTCGCAAATGCCGGACGGGAATCAACTCCACGGCCACCCACAAGCTGAGGACGCATCCTCCCGCACCGCTGCAGACATCTGACCAGGTCGGAACTCGTGGGCCTCGGTCTTGACGATACTGACGAGGTGTGATACTTGGATCCGGGCTCACCCTCCTATGGGGGGTGGGGTCCACATCAGTTTGAAGCATAGCAAGTTGATGTTTTTGAGTTCCTAAGAGTCTCTGCATCGGGCAGATTGCCCCCAGGAGGCACAAAACGTAACTGGAAACCCTGCAGACACGGAGTTCCGGCCCACGAGCCTGGTCGGTGTGAAACCGGCTCCCGAAACAACTGTGCGATTTTTCGCCGCACTAACATCATAATCATGTTCAGTAGTGTTCCTGCTTCCCTTAGATGTACGCGCGATGGGTTTAGGAGGCCCATGGCACCGAGTCCGAGATGTCGTGCAGACGCTTCGAATTCCTCTCTCGTCGTGCAGAAGCTCCCCCTACAGAAAGCATGGGTAGGTGGCGTAGTTGAGGCCAGACACCAAGCCCACCTAACCATCGGAGTAAGCTAGCCCAATAGTTAAAACCAGATTAGAATGCATACCGAGGCCCGTGCTTCGGGCGACAGGCCTGCATGCCACGAGCGGGATGTTGATGCTTGAGTTTGGGCTTCAACAACATCTTCGCCCTCCTCTAGATCCGCTAAACCCGCTAGTTCAATCCTCCCCCACACTGCGAATTTCAGAGAAGTCCCGCCAACGGAATCAGACCACTTCTTAAACCGCCCGGGAAGCCTGAGCTCTGCGAGATGTCGCCTCTGAAAGGGATGGTTTGCGGGGTCTGGGGTGTCACAAGGGAATCTTATGGGTTTGGGAATGTTTCGGTGTTCTACATCATGCTTTTGTGTCGGTTGGGGTGTTTGGAGTATAGACCGGTTGCTTGGGCAAAGTGAGTGTGGGATAGCCTGAGCCACGAAGCCGGCAGCGGGTAAGACTGCCAGGTGTCTCCCTTTATCGATCGAGAGAGTTTGTGCTAGGACCTGGGGCCTTGCCTTGCCGTTTAGCATTGACATCAGCGCACACAGAGTTTTGTTCCGGAATGCCGTAGGCTCAAGTCAGCCATTTCTACCGAAGCTCAAGGCCTTTCAAGCACCTTTGAGTCGGGATGTGGCGAGTCTGAGACGATCTGGAACGACGGGCCTTGCTTCGCCAAGCTTAGCATCTGCTCGAAGAGCTCGCTGGCACCTGGCTGAAGGCTGAAAGGGAATCCGAGAATGCCTCATGAAGACCTGAGCCGTCCGCTCAAATACCTAAGCCCCAAAGCTCACTGTCGACGGGCAGAACTTACATGAACTCTGTCTTATCCATGGAAGGGATTTGCCAGAGTTCCCACAGTTCAGGGCAAAAGCCAACGTCAAAGCCACTCACAGAGGGCTTCAGGATTTTCAGCTTCGCAACTCTCGACAGGTCTCGCTTAGAGCAGAAGGTGCCAACAGCGAACATTCATTGGAAGACTGTAGCCTTTATGATGGAGGGCTCTGCAAGTTTTGGAGCCGAAGAAGGAGTGGTCCAGGAGAGCCAGGGACTCCAGAGCGCCCCACAGAGAAGTGCAATAAGCCAAAGCTTTGAGAGCCTCGGCCCTAGCCCCTTTTTTTTGCCTTCCTGAGCCCCAAGGCTAAAGATGCCAGAAGGCCCGAATGGGCCCTGGGAGTCTGGGAAGGCTTGGGCTGCGGATGCTGGCAACCACAAAGAGACATCCGCTTGAATCCCAGACTGCTGGCATGGGGAAGACCCGTCGGAGAGCCTTCCTAGCACCGTATTGAAGAACGGCACTCAGTGATGCGAAGTACGGCACCCCGAAGCCCTGAGCCCTGCACTGCCAGAAACCTTCAACCTAAACCCTGACAAGCCCTCCACCAGTGGTTCAGAGTGCAGATATCGGAGTTTTGTAAGCGACCCCAAAAGGGACCCGTGATCCTGAGTACGTACTAGTACACAAACTCTCAACTAGGCCAACACAAGCTGGGGCCCGGCACTGGCATCGGGCTGAAACTCTGGGGCGTCGGAAGACAGCCTTGATGTTGCAGCATCCGATGCAGCCTCGCAGTCACTTGAGAAGGGAAATTCCAGCTGGGTGCAAAGCTTGAGGATAAGCTGACGCAGGGTTGTTGGCTTTTGATCCGGTATCCGGGTTTAGCGTCCTGGGCTGGGAGCTGAGTCGTGGTTCCCATGAAACTTGAAGCCCGGAACAGAGCAGTCAGATTTAGGTGCCAAATTACGACGGGACGTAAGTGACATAAGCGAAGCTGAAAAACAACGGAGAAGGGCGGGCCCAGTGATGGCGTTTAGGGGATCCAGTGATGGCGTTTAGGGGATCTGCTGACGGCAGGTCCTAGCCAAAAGACGACACCAGCCTTGCTAGCGAATTCCTCGGGCACGGAGAAGGCAGGAAGATCTGGATCCACGCCTGAGCATGCGGTGCTGGTTCCAACCGACCTAGCATTTGAGAAGTGGAGCTTCACATGAGTCTGTGCTTTGCCCCGTTCAAAGTGACTAGGTAAGTCATGAGAACTCGAAGCACAATCCATCAAATGCAAAACAACACCCGAAACTACAACTAACAAGCCTTACTTAGAGCTTCCTCATACACACTTCGGTTGCAGCCTAGGCTTATGTACAGCTCTAAACTACAGCCTGTTACCCGGAACCCTGACCACGCTTGAAACACCCGGGCTCAAACAGTTGGAATACGGGGTTGCCGAGACTATCCTACAATGGTACAGAGTACTGATTATCGTGAGGGGTATTTGGGCGACGGTTGGGGTCATGGGCCTGTCAGCATAGTAGGGCCAACATATTTCCCAAAATTCGCATGCTTACAAAATCAAACACCACGTATTGACACAAGACCTTAGAAATCTCCAGGCGCTGGACTGAAGGGTTTCGGTGCATCAGGCTTTCTGTATAGGGTTGAATGGTGGGGCACAGCGTTACGGGTAAAACGCTTGCAAACACCGAAAAACTATAACACCCACGCTTCAGGAAGGGCGTGGTCCACTCGGGTGGGGTTTTGCGATTGTTTCGATGGTTTGTTTTTTGGGGTGGCTTTGTTTGGGTGGATTTTTTGGGATGGTTTCGGGATGGAATTTGGGGTGTGGTTTCTGGATGTTTCGGTAGTGGGGCTTTTGGGGCCGTGATTTTAAGTTTTTGAGGCGGCATTGTTGGGGCATGGTTTTTGGGATGCTTTTGGGGTGTGTGCGTGCGTGGTTTTGCGGTGGGGTTTTGGGGCTTGGCTAAGTTTTGGTTGGTGGTGTTTTGTTGTTTGAAGAATTTGCGGTGGTGTTCTTGGGCTGGTTTTTTATGGGTGGTGGGTGTTTTTGGAGTGGCGGGGTTTTCTTGAATTAAGGCTTATG